CTTCCACCTCAGCCTCCCAAGTAGCTGGGACTACAGGTGTTGCCCAGGCTGGTCTCAAACTCCTGGGCTCAAGTGATCTTCCAGGCTTGGCCTCCCAAGGAGCTGAGATTACGGGTGCAAGCCACTATGCCTGGCCAAGTTAGCATATATTTTTACCCCATTTCTCAGCCCCTGTTTTCTAATGAGGACCAGTCTCCGTTGCCCTATCTGCAGCCCCCTACCCTCCTGGGTGGGCCAGAGCTGGGGTGTGGCAGGGCTGGACCCAGTGGAGGAGGACAGTCATCAGACTGGATAGTGCACATGGTAGGGAGTTGGGATGGGAGGGCAGAGACCACAGCCTCATGGGAGCTGCCTGTCAACCTGGGATGAATGAATGTGTGACCTAAAAGATTTTAAGCAAAGGAAAGGCTTAAGATGTTTTGAGAATGAGAAGTAAGCAGAGTACCTGTGCCAGGCCATCTTCCAGCGTGTGCTGCACACCTACTGTGGGTGGTGCTGTGATCCACAATGCTGCCTCTGCTTGAGCCCTGACTGTGCAGCCCCAGGCAAGTCCCCTAGCCTCTCTGAGCTCCAGTCTCCACTTCTCAGAATGGGGACGACACAGCTTACCTTGCAAGGCGAGACGCAGCAGAGATCCACACTGTCAAAAGTTCAGAATGGGAGCATGTGGTGTCATTGGGGGAGATGCCTCCACAGGCTGAAAGGAGGTGAAATTATTTCTGAATTATCAGCCATATCTGATTATTTACACTCCTGGCACATAAATAGAGTCACCGTGTCACACCTTTAACCCATACACTGGCACGTGGGGGTATGACCGGGGACTCTAATCCACCTGTTCCATCAGCCCCACACACCCCAGGTGAGCATCCAAGAGAGTACAAGCAAGGTGTCAATCGGGCAGGATCCCTTGAGTCCTCTTCCCCGGCGTCCTAACCCACATGGGGTGGGGGTGAAACGCTAGAAGTCCTGTGTATAGATATAATTATTTAAGATTGTGATTAAAATACACATAAAATAAAATTTACCACTTTAATCATCTAAAAATGCACAACTCAGTGGCATTTAGTCCATTCACAGTGATGTACAATGACCACCTCTACCTAGTTCCATAATGTTTTCATCCCCCCACATGAAAATTTCATGTCTGTTAGCATTCATTCCCTTTTCCTCCTCCCAACCCCTGGCTACCACTAGTCTACCTTCTGTCTCTATGAATTTGCCTATCTTGGATATCTCACATAGATGAAACCACACGCTATGTGGTGTTTTGTATCTAGCTTCCTTCATTTAGCGTAGTGCTTTTGAGTTTTCTCCACATTGCAACATGAATCAGTGTTTGATTCTTTTTAATGGCCAAATAATATTCCATTGTATGGATGCACCACATGATGTTTATCCAGTTATCTATTGACGGACACTTGTGTTTGTTTCCATACTTTAGCTGCTGTGGATAGTGCTACCATGAATATCGTTGTATAAGTGTTTGTTCAAACACCTGTCTTCAGTTCTTTTGGGTATATTCCAAGGAGTGGAATTGCTGGGCAACTTTATATTTAACTTGCTGAGGAACTGCCAAGCTATTGTCCACAATGGCTGCACCATTTTACATTCCTACCATCAGTGTACGAGGGTTTCAGTTTCTCCACATCTTTGACAACACTTGTTATTTTCTGTTTTTTGGGTTTTTTTTTTTGGAGTCAGAATCTCACTCTGTCACCCAGATTGGAGTGCAGTGGCACACTCATGGCCACCCCAGCGTCAACCTGCTGGGCACCAGCGATCCTTCCGCCTCAGCCTTCCAAGTAGCCGGAACTACTACCATGCTACTATGCCCCACCTATTTTTGATTTATCGTAGAGACAAGGTCTCACCAAGTTGCCTGGACTGGTCTCGAACCTGCGGTCTCAGGCAATCCACTCCTCGGCCTCCCAAAGTGCTGGGATTACAGGCTGAGCCACTGAGCTAGGCTGTCTGTTTTTTTTTTTTCCTTAACCATAGCCATCCTGGTGGATGTGAGCTGATATCTTATTTGGTTTTGATTTGCATTTCCCTAATTGATTGGTAAGTCAAGCCTCTTTTTGTGTGCTTATTGGCCATGTGTATATCTTCCTTGGCATTTCTATGTCTATTCAAGTCCTTTGCTCGTTTTAAAATTGGGTTGCTTGTCTTTTTGTTGCTGAGCTGTGGGAGTTCTTTCAGATGTGATTGTTGATATCGACTCAAATCATTCCCTTATTCATTCCTCCATCTCACAAACACTCGGGGAAGGCCCCCTGGGGCAGCCCCAAGGACATGGATTGAGCTCAGACTTGGCACTATGCTGGAGATGCCTGCCGGTCTGGTGGGGAAGCTGGGCAGGGAAATAGCAACTGTGGGACCGTGGGATGAGTTCTGCACATGCAAAACAAGCACCCACTGCATGCCTCCTCAGTATTGGGGCCAAGGGGTTTGAGCACAGTAGGGTGCTGGTTTGGACGTGGAAGATGTGGAGTATGTCAGACAGGAAATGAAAGGAGGGGTGGCACCCAGGTGAGGGACTTGGAAACCCAAGCAAGTTAAGTTGGGATCCTCAGAGGACAAATCCTCAGAGGGCCCTCAGTCTGAGCAAAGGAGCTTGGATGGCCTCATGGGCAATGGGGAGCTGCGGATGGGCTTTGAGCAGGGGAGTGGCATGGTCAGATCTGGATACTGATGGGTTCAGGGATCTGCCTGGAGGCGGGAAACCAGGACTTTGGCCACTGCAGTGATCTAGTGCTGTCCCCAGGGTCCATCCTAGGTCCCTATGGAGTCCCCAAAGTAAGCTCTTGTTTGTATGAGCTACAGTCTCCAGCAGGGTTCCTACTGCAGGTAGTGGGGGCTTCTTGGCCCTGAGCCTGCTGGAAGAATTTAGGACCGGGCAGCGCCTTTTAGGGCCAGGACCCATGGCGGATTCTGCCCCTTGCGGAGGCTGGTGCCCCGCGGGTTCCCATCCATCTCGTGTCCCCAGCTCAGTTTCCGAGGATCTACAATTACTTTGGGCTGAATTCCCCAAATTCCAGTCCACTCCCAGACCCACCCATCCAGATGCTCTTCCTCAACGCCAGCTTGGGGCGTTTCTGCCCATTGTGCCCGTGGGAGACCCAGGGAGGCCTTGACCAGATTAGCGGGCGGGCCGTGGGGATTGAGTGTCGCCCGGGCGCTCCGGCTGTAGCACGTGCTGTGGGCTTGGGCCACACGGGGACTTTCCAGCTGGCTTTGGGTGCTCGGCCGCCCTGGAAAAACACTGACTTGTTTCTCTCAAGAAAGGGACTGGCAGGCAGTGGGTGGGAGGAGGGTCTCCATTACACTAGGGGCCCAGAGCCATGGGCACTGGCCTTGGGGAGCCCCTGGTGGTCTCCCCACTCTCACATCATTTTCCCTCTTCACGAAGCAGGTCCAGTCTGCTATTGTGAAGCCTGGTGCTGTTGTGAAACCCAACTGCTGTCTGTAGGTCTGTCTGAAACCGCCCCCCACCCTGGCTTGCCGTTCCTTCTCTGGGTGCTTAAAGACAAACAATTGGTGCAGCTACTGTGGAAAACGGCTTGGCAACTCCTCAAAAAGTTAAAGAGTCACCATATGACCCAGCAGTGGCACTCCTAGGTATATGCCCAAAGGATTGAAAACAGGGATTGGAAACACAAACTTGTACACGCATGTTCATAACAGTACTGCTCACAATAGTCAAAAGGTGGAAGCAACCCATCTGTCCATCAGCAATGAATGGGCAAACAAAACGTGGTCTATCCACACAATGGAATATTATTCAACCTTTAAAAGGAACGAAGTACTGACACATGCTACAGTATGGATGACCCTTGGAAACATGCTGAGCAAAAGAAGCCAGATGCAAAAGGTCACATATTGAATAAGTTCATCTATGAAATGTTGGGAACAGGCAAATCCATAGAGACGGAAAGCAGACTGGTGGTTGCCAGGGGTGCGGGGAGGGGAGAATGAGGAGTGACTCTAGTGGGCTCCAGGTTTCCTTTTGGGGTAGTGAAAATGTCTCGGAACCCAACAGCAGCTGTGGCTGCGCAACACGGAATGAACCGAATGCCACAGAACGGTATACCTTACAAGGGCTAATTTCATGCTATGTAAATTTCACCTCATTAAAGAAACAGTCACATTGCTAACACCTGGAATGAAGTGAGATTGGCATGAGGCTTCCTGTCTGGGGCTTCAATTTCCTGGTGTTGCCAAGAGACTAATTACAAAGACCTTCAAGAGACCACTGAGAGGCTACAGTGCTGCAATAAAAGACCCCGTTGAGCCCAGCACGCAGTAGGTACTCAATTCATGGAAGGTCCTATTTCCTTCTCTAAGTGGACCCAGTTACCCGAAATGAGTGAAAACAGCAACAGTCATCCCTTACTGTGCAGCCTCTCTCTGTGGTCATCCAAGCCTGCGTGGTGGTCAGGGGACTGGTGTTTTACATCCTCATTTCATGAATGTGGAAACAGAGGCTCAAGAAGGAGTGCCTTCCCGAGATCACACACAAGCTGCAGCTGGCGTCGGTACCCAGTGGGCTTGGTTCTTGGCCTGTTCATCGACCTGCCTGGCCCAGGGGCCACAGATAGGGGTAGCAGGAGATCCAGAAGTGATGGGAGAGTCTCTGTCGTCAGGGAGTTGGGGTTTACTTCTTGGAGACAGCTGTAGGCAGTTCCAAGCTGATGGCTGTTAGATTCCAGGCGCGATGCTCTCTGATCTGGAGGGGCTGCGTATCTGATTTGAAGGCTTGGAGAACTGTGGTTCTTGTATCTGTGGAACTTGTGATTCTGTGCCTCTTGGGTGCAGAGGCTGAGAGGCCTGGGCGTGCATGAAAGTAGAAGGAAAATGGCCCCTCGGGGGCAGGGACCTGCTGGTTCCCAGGTGAACAGAACTCAGCTCGAGGCTGCTGACTGAGAGACTGAGTGCAGGAAAAGTCAAGGGATACCCTCCGCCTGTCTCACCACCTGTCTCCTCTCTTCCCCCCACAGAGCACTGTCGTCCGTGGTGGCCCTGGGAGCCAACATCATCTGCAACAAGATTCCTGGCCTGGCCCCGCGGCAGCGTGCCATCTGCCAGAGCCGGCCCGATGCCATCATTGTGATCGGGGAGGGGGCGCAGATGGGCATCAACGAGTGCCAGTACCAGTTCCGCTTTGGACGCTGGAACTGCTCCGCCCTGGGCGAGAAGACGGTCTTCGGGCAAGAGCTCCGAGTAGGTAAGGGTGCCTCTGGGCTTGAGGGGCCCAGCCACCGGGACCAGGGGCTGGGGGGCCAGGACACCCGCCCACCCAATGAAGGTCAGGCCAGGCTGCTGCTCCACACATGCCTCCTGCAGTCACCCGAGCCCTTCTTTGTGCCTGGCCTGGGTGAGGGCCAGGACCCCAGGAGGACCCAGACTTGGCCCGGCCCTAAGGGACACCGCTCTCTCTGGGACAGGGAAGGCCTTGATGTGAGCCAGCCTGTGTGATGGATGAAGATCCTCACTCTGGGCCAGGGGGCTGGGGCACATGGTCCTGGCAGGGACATGGCTAGCAGGCTGGTATGCGTGGCACTGCAGTGCAGTGGCTAGGGGCATGTTCTGCTGCTTAGCAGTTGCGTGGACATAAGCACGTTGCTTTGCCTCCCTGTGCCTGTATTTCTGTACCTGGAAAATGGGGTAATAGTAGTACTTACTGCTTGAGGTGGTTAGGGGTTGATGAGGACAGCACTGGGCTCCCCGAGGTGCTGTGTGCATGTTATCACAGTCCTTCCAGGCAGGGGGAACAGCAAGAGTAGGGACAGGATGGTACAGCATGACACACGGCTGGACAGGAGGGTAGGTGGCTGTGCTGGTGTGGAGTCAGGGCTGGGTGGGGGTGTGCCTCCGGTTCAGTGGACACTGAGCAGCCACCGAAACGTGTCAGCTGTGAGTGGCAAGATCCCTGCTGGCTGCGCACAGCCCTTGAGGTCACATGTTCCCTCTCTCTGTCTGCACAGCCATCGGAGTAGGCTTTGTGTCTAACTTATAGATAAGGAGACTGAAACCCAAAGAGGACCTCATCTGAGGGCCTAGAGAAGGGCTTAAGTTTATTTTATTTTACTTTTTTTTTTTTGAGTTGGTGTCTCACTCCATTGCCCAGGCTGGAGTGCAGTGGCACACTCATGACCACCCCAGTGTCGACCTGCTGGGCTCAGGCGATCCTTTTGCCTCAGCCTTCCAAGTAGCTGGAACTACAGGTGCACACTACCACGGTCGGCTGATTTTTTGATTTATTGTAGAGATGAGGTCTCGCCAAGTTGTCCAGGCTGGTCTCGAACCTGTAGGCTTAGGCAATCCACTTGCCTCGGCCTCCCAAATTGCTGGGATTTCAGACTGAGCCACCGAACCCGGTCGAGCTTAAATTTAAAAAGTGACTTTTGGAGCCTGTTGTGGATTTGAATCCCGCTACGTGACCTTGAGCACATCACTTGGGGCAGCTTAGGGCCTCAGTTCCCTCATCTGTAACATGAACTCTGAGCCAACAGGCTGTCATCTGGGTCCTCTGTGCCTCTCCCAGTGTCTGTATGCAGTAGGTGCTCAGTAAACTGCTGTTGAATGCACAAGAGAGAGGATAGTGATGTGACCTTCCCTACAGGCCATTGCGAGGGTCAGATGAGGGAGTGACAACTTGGGACACAGTGTCAGGCTTACAGGGGCGCCCAACCTGTGGGCACAACTTGTCCTGATCCCAGAGGGCTGAGGATCCTGGGTCCGCTGAACAGAGCCGCAGCTGCTGGGACCCAGGCCAGAGCCAGGCTCTGCAGGGCTTGGAAGGCTGGCATGGGGCTGGGGGTGGCGCAGGGGAAAGCCCCGGGGGCCCCTTTGTGGTGAGCAGCCTGTGGGTGGCACCTGGCACAGCCAGGAGAGTGGCACCGCCCCCTCCCTGGGGCCCCACCACCCAAGTGCAGCTTCCTCCCTCCAGGTGCCAGCTGGGGCAGGCGGGGCAACCTCAGCCGGGAGGGCGTTGGCATGGGTGCCCGAGCCATGCCAGGGGCCCACCCGCCTGCTTGGCCCCTTAGCCCGGACACCACGGGTTCTGAGGCAGCTGTGAACACCCCCACTTCACAGCTGAGAAAGCTGAGGCCCCCAGGGAGTTGTAGCAACTCCCGGGGACCCTGGCTGTGGACAGGGTGGAGCTGCGTGCAGCAAAGGGGTTTGTCGCCCCTCCTGGTAGTCCTCACTGCCTTGCTATGCAAGGAGAGACAGATGGACGTGGAAATCATTCCTTGCTGAGACAGAAGGTGGGGGTTTGGACACGGGGGCCACCCTGAGCATTTCCACTAGGTCCCTGAGCTCCCTTGGGGATCAAGTTGAGGCCAGCTGGGGCCACATCCTGACGCAGCCACGTGCCCTGTCCCACCAAGGCCCATCTCAGGCTCTGTTTCTGGAGAGCCCATGAGCATTTCAGGGGCCAACTTTTTGGCAGAGCTGTCCACACCTACCGCCCCACCCTGCACCTTCGATCACCCCCACTGCTCCTTGTCTGGGCCATTAGTGACCTTCCTGTTGCTGCTGTCCCCCGCCTTCCCGGACTTCCGGGACATAGCCTGGGCTTGCTCCAATCTCTGGCTGCCGCTTCTCCACCCGGCTCAGCTGGAAAGTGTCGGCTCCTCCCGGTGCGCCTCAGCCCCCTCTCTCCACTCTGTCCCGGCAGCTCATTCCTGCCCACAGCTTCCACTCCCACTGACCCATGGGACCCCCTGGCTTGACACCCTCAGCATCATGCTGCTTAACTCTCCCATCCCCAGCTTTCCTCCCATTGTCTCAGCAGAAACCTGGTGTGATTTCCCCATCCACTGCTCTGCTCTGCCTCACAGCCACTGCAAGGCCTGCTTCTCTGGCAGCTGTCACTTTCTCCTCCCTCCACCAGCTCCAGTTACAGAGTTAAACAGAAGACATGCCGCATCACTCTCTTCCTCCAAAACCTGCAGTTGCTCCCTATTGCCCCAGGATAAAGTTAACTTCCTAGCCTGGAATCTGAGTAGCCGCCTCCCATACCTCACCCCACTTCCCTCCATCCCTTCTGGTCATATCTGGCTTCTCTGTCCTCCCCAGCCACCTCCAGGACTGGGTTCCTGCTGTTCCCTGGCCTGGGAAGCTCCTCCCCTCTGCTTCGCTTATTCACATCTGATTTCCCCGCTGGGGGGAACGCCTTTCTCAGCCCTTCCCTGGCTCTTCCTTGTCTACCGCCAGGCTGTGGCGGCATCCAGGTGCTCCATCCTACTGACAACTGCGCTCCCTGCACCTGCCTCTGGGTGGGTGGGCTTCTAAAGCACAGGCTTGTGGTCTGACTGCCCAGCCTGCTGCCCTCCAGTGGCTCCTCGCTGCCCCGGATGAAGGCCCAGCTCTCAGCCAGGAGCGCCCTGGCTGCAGGCCGAGCTGGGCTGAACTCTGCAGGCACAGGAATCCCACTGGGAGCTTGGATGGTGGTCTGGGAAGGCACCTTATTCCTCCTAGGACTCAGCTGCCAGGAGTCACGAGCAGGAAGCAGGACCACGCAGTGTGGCTGGCCCATGTCAGAGGCGTGCTGGGTGCCCCGGGCACGGGATGGGAGCTGGGCCATGAGCTGGCAGGCAGCCGGGGGCACTCGTGGGAGCAGCCACTCAAGCGATGCCAATTAATGATTGGCCCCAAGAGGGGGAATGGCCTGGGTGGGTGGGATAGCCCCCTTTCACGCTTGTCTGTGACCTTGGCCATGTCTAAATCTTGAGAGTGGAAAGGGAATCCCTTAAAAGGGCAAATCAACCCCCTGTGCAAAGTTCCAATCCCTTTCCCAGAATCTGGTGTGGTCGCTTGTATGCCTCCAGGGATGGGGTGCTCACTACGGTATATTAGATAGATGTTTCTTATGATGACCTGTGCCAGCTTTGGTGCCCTCTGGGTGCCAGTTGCTCTGCTCCCTGAGAGAGTCAAGGCCCAACACTAGGCCTCCCTCCATGGATAATGGTCTCCTCCTGCCTGGTGGCCTCCCCCTTCTAGTCATCAGAGTCCTTCCCAGGCCTATGCCCTCTTGTATGGAGGGTGGCTTGTAGCCCAGGCCTTTCTCACTGGTCTCTTCTGTAGACTGGAAATGAGCTGGGGGAAGGGGGAATGTATTGTCCCCAAATCAGCAGTCTTCTGCCATGGAGAGGGAGGGAGCAGGAGTCTGTGGGGCCCTGAGAAACTCAGGACCCCTGAGGCCCCTGAAGCAAGACTGGGAGTTTCTAATAGGCACCATCATCGAAAGAAGATTGCCAGTAAGGGCTTCCCTGAGGGGGTGACCCAAGGGAGACCCAGAGTGTCTCAGACCAGCCTGGAAGTACACGCAGGGAAGGGGTCTCTGGGTAGAGGGAACAACTTGTGCCAAGGCCCTGGGGCCAGAAAGCTAATGGTATTTTCCAGGAACAGCAGGAGCTTTGAGGGCTAATGGCAGGCGGGGAGACCTGAGGCAGGAGGGATGGGGCAGGGCTGGAGCACAGTGAACCTTTCGGAGGGCCCCAAGACAAGGGAGGTTCCGAGCAGGAGAGGGCCTTCCCTCAGCACGTGGGCACCCTCCAACCGCTGCCCCACGCGCCTAAGCCCAGAGCCCCCCGGGACCTACTGGCATGGGCTCTTGGTCCCCAGCCCCACCCCTGAGCTGCCAGGGAACGCCAAGTCCCACCCATCATGTGCTGGCCTCGGACATGACCAGGCATAGGGGCTGCCCCTAATCCCAGCTCATGTGACCAGCCCAGGGCACCTGCACCGCTGTCACCTGCCCCTTTTTGCTCTGTGAGTGAGCTCCACGTGGGTAGTGTCTCCGTGGGCCAGGCCGAGCCCACCAGCCTCGCAGGAAGGACTCAGCAAAGGCTGTTACTTGCCGGACAGTCTGAAGGCAGGCTGAGTGGCTCATCTCAGGGTAGCTGAGGGGCCAGGGGCCCTGGGGAAAGAGGGTGACTCCCAGGCCATGTGCACCCTACAGCCCTGCAGGGCTTTGCATCCCCAGTCATCTCCAGAAGAGGTGAGGGCTCAAAGGCTGCACTGTCCACTCTGGTGGCCCCAGGTGACTGCTGGCAGGAGAGCATTTGGAATATAGTGTGTGACAAGCGAGATGAGTTGTGAGTGTATGAAACACTTGGATTTTGAAAGCTCATACCAAAAAAGCAGGTAAAATATCTTGAATAACATTTGCACCCAATAAGATTTTGGATATATTGGCTAAATAAAATGTTATCAAAA